ACCCTTTTGAAAATTGTAAATAACGTGCAAATGAATATTGTAAAGGCAAACATAATTTTGTCTGTTTGTTTGTTTCCTTTTCACGCTTAAACCTCTGGCATTCCTTGTCATGAATTTTGTTTAAGAAACAGTTTATAACTTGGGTAAGGGTGAAGCTACATTTTCTAAAAAATATAAAAATTAGATAAAATTGCAAACGAAGAGAATCTTGTAATTTCTCGATTCGAATATTTAAAAATTCATATTAATTATGTTTTAGTAAGATATAATTGGCAAATGAAGTAGCAAACAACAAACAATTTATACTAATATAATCTATATAGTTCCTACAGTCGGCCGACAGGCACGTCTAGACAGAGCATTTGTGAAGGAAATGTGGTGGTAAAGGGGTGACAATGTGCCCAATCAACATGCATTTGTACAAATGCGGTATCACCGACACCGTTCCATTGACTTACATTTTGCACATTGATTTCAAATTCCAAGGTATTTTCCAGTAAGTAAAATCGGAAATATTAGTGTTCAAGCTAAAAGACATAAAGTATTACTTTTCAAACTGTGATCTGCTAATCTTCTAAAAACGTTACACATTTGCTTAGGACCAATACATTTCAGTCATTGGGAAGTACTGTGCCCTAGCATTGGGTATATTAATAGGTTTATGATGATATTTAGTTATTTTGTTTTGTCATAAAAATGGTCCATACCAAGTGGTTTGTATGTCTTATATTTCTTTTTGCATATGTCCATGATATCTTATTACTGTCAATACTCAAATTTGGAATATACTGCAGCAATAATAGATATATTTGTTAACTCTACAGCATAACGAATGAATAGTGTCAATCTAGGGAAAAGCAGCATTTAGTCCTACTCCAAAGGAGTTGGATCACTGTAAGTTTTTGCATTGAGCTAATATTATAACTTGTATTTTGTTTTTTTTAATAATCTCAATACCATCCATTCTTGAACTCAAAGCGAAAAATAAACCGATTTCAGATTCCGTTCATCTATTTGAATCTTTACGTCTGTAGTCCAATTCACGTAACAAAAGTAGTAACGATATCGCAGCGATTTAGTGTTTGAACCCATTTTACAGTAGCTCTATCAATAAAGTTTATTTTAAAGTAGTTCTATCGGAGTATCGTCGAAGCGTATTCATCTAATCAATCGGGTCAAAACTTGCGAAAAATCGGACGTTAAGAGCTATTCTGCTAAATAAATGACATTTCTTTCTATTGGATGAGGACCGACCAAACGTCAAAATATACGATTTAGGCGCGGTTGAAGAAAAGTTCATCAATTGGTATTTTTGACATAGTAAAACATAGACACAAACAAGCTTTGGTTAAGCTGTTATTCTATTGTTTATCGATTTATTCTATTGGAGCTGAAGTTCTATTGTAGTGCATCTGTGTATCACCTGAATAACACATTTGGCTAGAACTTCGATCGAACGGTTTATAAACTTCAGCGTTATTTGATTGTTCATAGTTACGTGAATTGGGGTACTTGCAAAGTAACTGATCGTCACAAAGCACGGTGCAAGCTTCCTCCTTCGCTTCTTCGCTTCCTTGACATTCAAAAATCTTTTCACACATGCTCACCGGTTTTTATTTGTCTGACATAATTTTCTGATACACGCGTATTCAATTAGCTCGTGAAAGATGTGATTGGCTCTCCCGGTTTTTCGTTAGTCGTTCTGTCACTGGGCATTCTTCCCATATGTCTGAATCAGCTGAGCATGATTTTTCAAGTCTACTTTTTTGTTGTCTCTTCATTGCGAATGCAAGAACGAAGGAAGGAAGCATTCGAGGTGTAAGCTTTCTTTGCCATCCTCCTTCGAATCAACATTACATTATGTATAATAGCGTATTATAGCTCAAATTTTTTATGGCAAGAAGGTTTCTCAATTCTCCATTTACACTGTTCCCTGAACTCAATTTCCTTTCTATGTTAGCGGTGTATATTCTGAAACTTGGTGCCCAGGGAACCACGCCCATAAAATATCACTGAAAAGACAAATGTACCGGCAAAGAGTGTAATTTTGCAAATCACGAAAAAAAAAAACTCTTTAAGTACTGCTAGTATGAGAATTTTGTGTGTCTGGATACCGCGGGCATTAAAGAAATCGTAGACCAGACTTATGTTTCTTTATCTTCACACAACTTGAGTTATACAATACAGGCGCTGAAAGAGTCTCGAACGTAGATATCACCCAACTTTCTTACAACACCCAAAGAATCTTTTCTATTTTTATAAAAACATCTAGAAATACCATTTGTTGCAAAAATACGACATTGTATCAAAATATAAATTCAATATCATGTTTCGACGTCGAAGTTCCAATACATTGGCACTTATATTGGGGGGTATTGGAACATTGACACTTTTCCATAAAACTTTCACACGCCATTTTTAAACTGAACCAGAACTGAACCGTTAAAAAAGAAAATTGTATCGAATAAATGTCAGTTAGGAAGTATATTGGAACTTCAGCGTCCGTTTAATGAAAGTAGAAAGTGGTGAATTATTGGCTGCACTGTCTTTCTATAATATATTGATAGGAATTTCTTGTTATTAGTAAACAAGGTTTAGAGTTGTTATTCCAACGCAAAACATTGTCTCAGCGTAAATTTTTTAATTTAAAGGTTTACCTAGTACGAGGTAATACGGCAGTAATAATAGGGGTTAAAGTATGAAACTGCTGATTTGTACGGAAAATCAAAATTGTTTATTTTTTAATTTTTAACAAATTTATTTAATCAAAATAGTTACAATTATTATCTATACATTTCTGCCATCTTATAGGAAGGTAATTTATGCCTTTGCGATAGAGCGCTGAGGATCTAGACTGCACAAACTATGTGAAAACATTTGTAGTGCCTCCTGGGAAGAAAACTTCTTGTCACGTTGATAATTGTCCAAATCACGAGAAAAATGGTAGTTCATTGGAGCAAGATCTGGCGAAGAGGGAGGATGATGAATGGTTTCTAACTGCAGTTCCGGAAGGGTCAAAACGATTTCTCGTGCTGTATGGGGTCTCGCGTTATCATGGAGCAATAATGGTGAAGATCGATTCATAAGTCGGGGCTGTTTTATTTTGCCAACATTGTTCGGAGTTCGGCACAATAGACATCTGCCGTTATTGCCTGACCAGATCGGAGAAAACTATAGTGAATAACACCATGCTTAGATCACCAAACAGATACTATTACCTTTTAATTGGTAACTTTTGTTGTGGCGTTTGACCTGGGGTCAGCCATTGCATTTTTCTTTTACGCTTATTATAAAGAATCTACTTTTCATCACATGTCACAATTTGATCCAATATTCCTTCATTTCTATACCAATTTAACAAGGCAACACAAGATTTCAACACACCTTTTTTTTCTGCAGACCAGTTAGATAATAGTCTACCTATTTTTAGTATTTTTTATTTTATTGTTTTGACGCAAATGAGTCAATATTGTGAGCAAGTTAACGTTAGACCATGCCGCTAATTCCTGGGTAGTTTGACTAGGATCGGCTTCCACCATCTCTCTTAATTCATCGTTATTCACCTGCGTGGGCGGTCTTCCTCGTGGCTTGTTCTTCAAGTCGAAGTTCCCATTACGAAAGCGTTTAACCAAAATCGCACGATGCGTTCATTAGCAGATCCAAACGCAACATTAATATTGCGGGCTGTTTCTGCCGCGTTACTTCCGCGTCGCAACTCGTTTTAAAAATGACTCGAATTTTCGCAGTATCCATCTTTCTTGTCTAAGTTGAAAAACTAAAACAATTAAAAGTCGATATTCAAATGTTTCACATTTATCATAGAAAACATGTGAAACATTTTCTTTTGTAAACCTCAAACCATTAAGATTTTATGTCAATTCAAGGAACCTATTACAATAAAACGACAATTTCATACTTTAACTTTTAATATAGAAAATAGTATGTTTTCTTATTCTCTGTGTAATATGAATTTGGACTTAAATAAAAAACGCAATACCTTGTTTATTAATAGCACTGCTTGTAATAAGCCAAAAGATTAACAAAGGTTATTTAAATAGGATTATATATTTAATAAAATAAGATATTGTTTTAAGCATAACGTCTAATTGGAGGATCAAGTACAGGGACAAAGTGGATTTTTTAAGCGTTTTCCATTAAGAATATTTTGTCGATATACCTCTGCCATCTAATTGTAATTCTATATATAGAATATAGGACCTTGATCTATTAATGCTATGATAGTATCTTCTAGGCTTCCTGAGAAGATGGTTTTCATAAGTCTATGTAATAGCGTAGTTACTCAATATATCGAAGCCTGACTATATTCAGGTCAGATGCAAATGCCACATGAATATAATACAGATTTTTCTATGAAGGTCCATTGTGTCCATTATATACTTATATAACGATCGGTAAAATACTTCTGATAGTACAAATAGAACTAGGTACTATGAAATTTATAAAGAGGTAAAGTTTCGAACTTCGGTGATCTTGATGTGTTGATTATTTTATTTTTACCAATGAAAATATCCTTATTTTTTATTATTTTACTATTCATCATCATTTTACTATTGTACTAATAAAACTATCTACTATTAATATTAATGTTAGTTATTTTTGTCTAAAAAAGCGATTAGATTGTATAGAAATTATTATTAGCTCAGATAAATAAATCTATTAAAATAACTTATATACCTAACTAAATTAATATAATAAAAACACATCAATATTATTACGATAGATATTTGCGAATTATTAGGTTTAAGTTTTATACATATCTGACGGAAGATACGTCGTGTCCTTCTGCGCCAAACGTCAGAGCTTACAAATTATGATACGACATGACGTCATGTACTAACGTATATATACTTCCGCGAGACGCTTGACGTATCTACTGTCATATTTACACCCAACCTTTTTGTCATTGTTAGAAATAATATCAATTTTTTACATTTTTTACAAAAGAATGAAACTGACTATAATTTTGCGATTGTGTAGAAATGCCAGCGAGAATGATGAACGCTCGTGGCGGAGCGGGTGCAGCTGGCGAGGTTAGCGTGGCTGACAGTCCACTGGCCACATTTGAGTCCCTCACACAAGCAGCTGTTATAGCTGTCATGGGGGTCGCCATTGTAGTCTCTAACCTACTAATCATTGCCGCCTTTCTGAATTTTAAAGGTAAGGTTTTTATGTCACCTTTTCGTGATACACTGTGCGAAATCCGTTGTACTCACACCTTTAGTTTTAAAATACCATTTTTTCAACATAGCGTACTATTCTGTTAAAAAATATATTAAATCGTCGAATGCATTTTTTTATATACCGCTGTCGCAATTTTAGAGGTTCAATCAAATAAAATCTACTTGGAAAGGTACTTACTATACGTTTAATTAATTGAATCAATGTGACTATGGTTTACAATTGTATATAAAAACTTTTTATTTAAAAGACCCGTTGTCAAAATTAATAAAAATTATAAATAATACTTATCTCAAAAGTTACTTAGTTAAGAAAATGCAATTGAAGTCGGGTGGGTGGAGGTCGAGGTTTCTGTAGTTTATTAATTAAATGATGAAACGCAACCTGCATTGGATAGGCATCGACACTATTGGACCGATTTATGTGTCTTTTATCTATAGGAAGCTGCTTAATAAACGTTGGATATAGGCTATAATTTAGATGAAGTCGCAGGGAAACAGCTAGTTTGATAGAAATCGTTTAATATGAATACTTTCATAAAAAATATATACTCCTTGAATATAGAAAATTCATCTTTCAGATTTTGAATGAATTCCAAATACGCAATCTTTTGTTTTTTAGATGGAAAGGGTCTATGTATCACCATATCAACTAAATATTTAGGTGACATTTGGTGAAAAGCGTATTTAGTTTTGTTATAAAAGGAAAACTACTGATTCGATTTCGATAAATTTTAAATAAGACCATCTCGGTCCATTAAGCTGTCGAATAAAAAAACGAATTTTGATAATCGGCCAACCATTGGCTAAAACATCTATGACTATAAATAAAAAATACGTCGTTGTCGCACATATAACCTCCTCCTTTTGGATTTTGAAATCGGTTAAAAATAGTATTACTCAAATAACTAAGCGCTGTCGGTAGCCCTCTCATCTGCCAGTAACAGACTTGTAAATAATGTTTAAACGGTAATAGAAAAAGCGAGCAGTTTATTTTTATTGAAACCGAATGAGGGGCGAGAATACTAGAAATAAGTATTTTTACTTCTTTAATAATGATATAAGGACAAAAGATAAATAAATGTCCGGTGGATCACCTAAAAGCATCAGAAACCGAGGGCCAAGAGTGAATAATTAACTAAACAAACCGTATTGTAAATAGGTATCAAAATCAAATTATATTTAGAAACAATACAACTTCATTCATATTGTAGAAATTGCCGTCTACATTTTAACAGCTACCTAGTTTACTTCGTTATATCTGCTGAGCTTTGTGGTAGTTCTGGCGTCTGAAGCACTTAAACATTTCCGAGTTTGCCTCTCACTAAGATAGAGTTAGATCTAGGTTAACCTAGATCTAAGCTCGACTTCTGCAAATATATAACAATGTTATTTTGCTGAATGGATATTTCCAAATGCGATGTAAAACACTATTAATATATTTTTAAATAGTTTACAGCAAATAATATCCTTTTCAAAATATAGTTTTTGTCGTATGGAGAATATTACTTAGTATTTGTGTATTTTGGAATCTTAACACAGGCTAATGAAAACTTTTTTTGTCAAACAGTATTAAACTAATTTACCTAAATCTGAAATCATTTCTCAAATATCACTTATTTATTTTATTAATAATGATATGACATCAATTATATAGGTTTGGTTTATTTTTATTCCGATAGTTTCATCTAACTTTTCAATATTATCAAAATTCCCTTTTCTATTTAGTCTTTCAGATTTTCCGAGGTAGTGCTTCAGCTCCGTAATTGACGGTCTCGCAAAAGGCAGATAGTTTAATATAATTTTATGTGCTTGTTAGCTCAAGGTTTTATTCATGTTGATTTTTTTTTCATCCCGTCCCTTGCGATATTCATGCTTTTAAAATATTGTGGGTCTATTTCAATATTCTATTGGCTTCGTGCAGTTTTTCATTTATAAACTTTATTTATTTATACGGTTTTATATCTGATGCTACTCACCCGATGATAGTTAGGGCACAACTGAAATTACTGTAATGTTCAAATGTATCTAGTTAAAATAATTAAATGAATAAATGTTTGTCTCCGACCAGCAGCGAATATCAATGACTATATTATTACACTACTACTTTGTAAAGCTATAACTCATGATGTTTTGTTTTCTTGTCTGACAGGTAATATGTTAAGCGTGCGGGTCATATAAAAAGACAATATACTATTTGTATTTAGCGTTTTGTGTTTTAAGGGGAAAAAAGAAACTTTAATAGGATAACCTCGCTTCTCGTCTGTTTCTGTTGGGTTTTTTACTAAATATGGTTAGAAGTTTTTTATAACAGTCTCCACAAGTTCTCTCACTTAACCTATTTCCAAAGAGCTTATACTGCAGAATGGTGGATAGAGGCTGGATACGGTTAACTTTTTCAAAGCTAAACTTACACAATATGTCAAGTGACTAGTGCATTATACGATCTAGATTTGTAGATAAAATTAGTGTGGTTTTGATGAAGTGTCATTGGTTTCAGGTTTATCTAACGAAGTGATTAATTATTATCTACTATCGCTGGCGGTGGCAGATTTACTGTGTGGTTTATTTGTGGTGCCACTGTCTGTATATCCGGCATTGACTGGTCGGTGGGTGTTCGGCGACCTGATGTGTCGGTTGGCCGGATATGTGGAGGTCACGCTCTGGTCCGTCAGCGTGTACACATTCATGTGGATCTCAGTAGACCGATATCTTGCCGTCCGGAAACCTCTCCGATATGAGACGGTTAGTGCGACGGTAGTTATCTTTTCCGTATTATTCCCAGCACTCAGCACTTATTAGACAAATTTTCAGTTATATTTTGCTATGATCGTATTCTTTGTTATTAAATGTTTTTGTTACCTAACTTTTATTTTGCCATGTATTAGGAATAGCTAAAACACATTCAAATCAATGGCAATATTGAAAGCTTGATTAACAGTTTTTGGTTTTACGCTTTCTATGAGTAATTATTTTATTTTGCGACACTTTATTAGATACATAATATTTTTAGATGAATTTATTATTCAAAGAAATTAAGTAATCACCATTCGGGTGAGATATTTATTATTTAAATTGCGCTTTTTAGAATAGGTTTCTCAATAAGTACTGTTGAAAACGCTCAAATCCGTCTTACCTGTCAGGTACAAACGCGCACTAGGAGTCAATGTTGGATGGTGTTCACTTGGATATCGGCAGCTATGTTGTGCTGTCCGCCCTTACTTGGATATAAAAAGGATGCAAATTTTGACAAGGAAACTTTCATTTGTATGCTCGACTGGGGCACTACTTACGCGTATACCGCTACTCTGGGTATCCTTGTTCTCGGGCCGAGCGTCATCTCGATTGTGTACAACTATTTTTACATATTTTCGATGAAACGTAAACTGAATAGCGGCGCACCAATACACGACAAGGAGTACGCCACAGCTCTGGCAGAGAATCTCGCTAACCCGAGCCACTGGATGAGTTTCGTCCTGGTGACTGCTTTCTGGCTCAGTTGGGCGCCGTACGCTGGCGTTAGGTTGTATGAGTACATTACAGACCAGGAACTCAAGATACCGATGCTGCACTTTGGAGTTGTGTGGCTCGGCATACTGAACTCTTTTTGGAAGATCGTTATTTTGATCTCGTTGAGTCCGCAGTTCCGATTGGCCTTACGCATCCTCTGCCTGACTGCCTGTTGTCGTACTAAAGGGCGACTGCAAGCTGAACTAATAGGCATGGACAATGACGACTGAGCCTGGAGAAGAGGGATCTAACAGCCCACGATATGACAGGAAGAATTATGATAGAAATTATTATGAAAAAGAAGAAAGAATGTTATATATTATTAAGACGTAGATTTGCTTTATAATCAGGTTGTAAGTAGTGGTGTCGAGATAATTTCAAATTATAACATTTATCTAAGAAAAAGACTTGGAAAAACAACTGCCTGAACCAATCAGAGACAGACGTTGTTTTTTTTCAATAGTTTTTCTTGGATGAATTTAAGATAATATTGTAAATGCGTAGTACACAAAAACAATAGATTCTATTCTCTTTAATAATAGCATTTGCAAAAGTTTATCTTTTTGTAATTTTATAAAGTAAGTTGAATTGCGGAATTTATAAATATTTAACAAATGAGCTATTAACTCAAATTCTAAAAGTTGTACTTGATTATGTTTGGGTATCGTTTACAGCAACCGTGTCCTGTTATGAATCATACATAAATGAAATTTACCTTTAATTTCCTATTTTAATTTGAAGTCATCTACTTAAAAATATTTGTGTACATTTATTCAGACAATAATAAAATCTTTATGTTCGTTATTGAACAATTAGATTGCATTGTGCAATAAAACCATATCATTTTGAAATCGTTTAATATTAGTTTTTATCACTACTATCGTTAAGATGTTTCTTGATTATTAATAAGAAGATCGCCTTAAATGTTACGTTGTATATATGTTTCGCTGTTGTATTAATAAGCATAAAGAACAAGTTTTTCATGATACAAAATATTCTAAATAGTCAAAATGCAATATTTAAGTAGATGTTATAGTTTTAAGCGCACATTTTGTTTTCTTGTTTCCTTTAGTTTGTAGCTCGTGGGTAATAAATGTAAGAGTTTGTTATTATGTATGTATATTTTTAATGAAATGCTCATATTGTATAGATGATAATGAGTTATGTGTGTGTACGTTAAGTGGTGTATTCTGAGGTTCCAGGCTCTAAGTCTTCTGCAAGCAGAACTAATCGATAGCCGGTTTCGTCGATTCATAAATTACTGAAAAACAAGGAAATCCTTTGTATGTCATTAGAATAAAATCTAACGGCTTATAAGTAGTTCGATGATAATATTAGATATTTTAATCATCATCAGATAATGAAATCAAAACTAAAAAGATCATACAAAAAATGAACGCATGCTGTTTGCGGCACCCCTAGCAGCCAGCCGCCCCGGGCCAATGCCCTTTTGACCCTAGGATAAATACGCCTCTGTGTATGTATGATTTGTAGAAAGGCATTAACCAGCACGACCTATATGTGTGTTCATGTTCCCTCTCAAATACATGGCTGTGCTAATGGTATATTACTTGTTAGATTTATTTGTTATTTGCATATATAATGCATTTTGGTATAGCGTTAATTAGTTCGTTGTTTATTGTAGAAGCAGTAGTAGATATCATGAATGGAAATCTTCAGGAAGCTACTGTTATATTCCTTATTAAACGTTATTGTAATGTAAATTTATGCTACGTTAAGAAACTTTGACCTTGCACATGAATTCTTTTCGATTCACATATCATTAATATCACAAATATTTTTTAGATGCTATTTTTTTTAACTCATCGCATAGTATTAATGGAATAATATTAAAAACAATACATAAAATATATTTTTGCAGTAGCTATTTTCTCGTGACTACGCACGCGTAAATTATAGATTGTCACTCGTGTATGACGAAGCTTTCAGTAGGTGAAAGAACTTTTGAAATCGGTGCAGTAGTTTCAGAGTCCATTCAATGCAAACAAACAATCAAATCTTTCCTCTTTATAATATTATTATAGTATAGATGAGTAAATACTTTTTAAACATATTTATCTTTGTAACAGTTCGATAATATCTTTATTTATTAATAATATTATAGTCTATACCCAGTTGCACAAACGATCTTTAACGTTTAATGATGGTCTAAAGAATGTTTTGAAACTGAAAATTTGTTTCTAATGATAATTTTAATGCTTTGTGCAACTGGGGGTTAATCACCCCACCCGCCGCATTTGTTTTTTTTTTGAACGCGACAAAGACAAATCGTATTGATGTTTTTTAAAGAGGCCCTAACCAGCGGATGGCATGAGTTATGAAGAAGGTTTTACTTTATGGTTCATTAAGGTTCTATATGATATAATTATTGTTGGAGTTGTCGGAAAAAAATATGATTAGTTAAATACTTCATAAAATGCATCCGTGCGTAGCCGGGATAAAATATTTGTATAAGACGTTGAATGTTTTTAAATTATTATTGTTAACACATCAATTTAAAAAAGAAGTGAATTTGGTGGATACTGTGAATGATTTTATTCTGTTACAATAGCGGCTTTCATAAATCGATTTAAGTGTAGATCTCTCTTTATAATAAATAATACATAAGCTGCAATAAAAATATGTGTTACAAGGTGCAACGCTTACGTGGTCGAACTTGCGAACGGCGTAATTGGAAATAATCAAGGTAAATCAATAAAACCATCACTTAAATTATAATGGAAACACGTCTCACGAAATATTCACGGAGCGACAGTTCTTTTCGTTTATGATACGATACTTGGTTGATTTTGAATATGGCAAATTGCGTAGTATACGACAGTCGTCGTCAGGCACGCCATTTTGAAATGTATTTTGAATAACTATTTATATAGTGTTGACTGTAAAATGGGTGCATAATATTATTTAGAGTTGTACTTTTTACTACCGTTGTACGCTTCAAAGATTTAATTATTGTAACATCATCGTGCGGCGTGACAGATATATACGTTGGTGTTTTAAATGAAGCCAGATAATAAACTTATCGAAAGATATACCGAAGTAGGCCGTGATACGTCACCGGGGGTTATCGTTTAAGCCTGTTAAGGAAAGTAACAGCGATTCGACGTACACCACGATCCCTGTCGAAAACAAACAATCAAAAATATTTATTAAATGTCAAATTGATAAATATGTTGCAGTTGTCGCATTCTTCTGTAACATTTTATAAGCTTGCATTAGTAATTTGATCTTAGATACTTTAAACAAGTCGTATTAATTATGTAATAAGGGGTACTAAGCTATAAAACTCAATGTGCTAAAATATGTGGCTGTGCTACATTTTGTGCCCGAAAAAACGTTGCATATGAAACATTTATACCTTTTTTCAATATAAGGTATACCAAAATAAAGGAAGTAAGTCAAGAATTAAAAGGAATTTTTATTAAACTTAATAATACATATTTCCAAGTCAGTACAGTAATTCGTAGCAATCACCTTTTATAGAAATAAAACTTCTATATTAAGAACTCATATTGATAAAAAATATCTCTTGATGATTTCATTTGCAAAATATTATGATTTATAATAATAATCAAAACTTTGAAAGTTAAATACTATTTACAAATAAGCCTCGATAGTGTGAATTGTAACGCAATAATTACCACATGAGATAATTATAATACGGAATGTAATTAAAATGTCATACCTAATTGTGTTAGATTTAAAACATAATCGAGGTGAATTGATTTTAATTGTTCTAACACCATATTTATTGCTTTTTGTGGTAATCTTATCTAAGATAATAGTACTTTTATTTTTAGAAAAACATAAATTGTTTAAATGGTAAATTAACAATAAAAATTCTATATACTTAGAATTTATACTTGGTCATATAGTATAATAATTATTTTTATGTACCTATAACAAATGTACTTACCTATGTTGTAGGTAGGTAATTATTTTTGTCAGTTACTAGTTTAAGGTTAGATTTAATGATACAATTTGATATGTTTTAATTGAGAAGCTGGGGTTAACTACGGATAATAATTATTAATGAGAGCATAGGCACATTTATATACGTGCTAAGATTTTCAAATGCAACGACATTGTTAATCGATTAATCTTCGTGATAAAGATAAAGTATATAGACAGTTCTGCAGTGCTATGTTGTTAAAAATACAGCGGTGATAGCAGTATTAGAAGTTCAATCAAATAAAACCTACTTCAAGATGTTATAAAGCAGTTATATCAAAGTTGCGGCGGCGTCCGGTCTGCAGGCCCATCTATCCGGCCCACGCTCATAATAAATGTTATTTTTTGTTAGTCTGCATTTGAAGCCTCTACTGATTTTGAAAATACGCATGTTTTATTTATTTGTAACAACAGCGAGATAACCTTAGTTTTTTTATTATTTTCTAATAATGATTTAGTGTTTTAATTTTTTTTATTTATAACCTGTCCCGCATAAACATTATAAATTTGAATTTTACACCCCTGTTATAAAGGTTTTATTTGATAGTTGATTTGGAACATACTGGTAAACTTGTTAGACCAATGTTTGATACTTATTTTGGAAATTAATTTAGAAACTGATTCTTCTCAATTGCACAGTTTCTGAAGTTTGAATTTCAATATTTTAGTGCTTCTGTAAAAAACAGTACAAGTAAATAACCAGTAGGTATAAAATTAATTGTCGAACAGATAAACGAATATTAAATATTGTATATTCGGGAAAACTTTATTGTTAACAAAAAAATATCCATATTGAAAACAGACAATATATGAAGACTAAAAATAATGTATAATTACCACTTAAATTCGTATTGTGAAAGTTTCTATTTATCTAAATTAATTTCATGATATTGATGTCCAGTGAGTGTAAATGACAATTGTTATGATTTTAGGTTTTCTGTTTTGTAATAATATCTTCGATTATATAATATTCTAAGAATAATTACGTTTGTAATTTATCATTGCGTATTTTTTGCATTGGCAAAAATATGATATTTTTTGTATTGGCAAAAATATAATTCCTAGTTTACGGTGATATAATTACGAAAATGTTAAGTGTATATTGTGTTGTAACTATGGATTCGTCCAGTGATGCTGCCAAATATTATATAATTATATATAGATTTCATATATTTAATGTTTTTTAACGTTATAGAAATAGGCAGTGAGTTATTCTTAAATATGTTCAGTCAAATGTGATAATTTATTTATGTGATAA